ATATCTTCAATATGTATCCATTTTCCTTTGAATGAATCTAGTTTCTCATTCTTTATGGCTGAGTAGTACTCCATTTTATGGAAAAACCACATCTTCTTTATCCAGTCTCCAACTGATGGGCAAATGGACTGTTTCCAAGTTTTAGCTATTACAGACTGTGCCGCTATAAACATAGGTGTGCATATATCACTGTAATATGATTCTTTTAGTTCTTTTGGAAAGATACCCAGCAGAGGGTATCAGCAGAGGCTGGGTCAAATGGAATCTCTAATCCCAGCTCTTTGAATTATCACCATATTGATTTCCATAGTGGTTTTTGTTTCTTAATCACAGTGGCTTTGTTGTATAATTTCAAGTCAGGGATTGTGATAATGCCCACTGTCTTGCCTTTGTTGCCCAGAATTGCCTTTGCTATTTATTCTAGGTCTCTTCTGATTCCTAATGAATTTTATGATCATTTTATCTAGTTCTTTGACACTAATGGTATTTTGAGTTGGATTGCACTAAATTACAAATTTGGAAGTATGGACATTTTTACTATGTTGGTTCTTCCTGAGAACACGGGATATCTTTCCATTTTCTAATATACTCTTCGATCTGCTTTTTCGGAGTATTATAGTTTTCACTATAGAGACACTTCACTTTCTTAAGATTGATTTCTAAGCATTTTATTTTTTATGCTATTGTGAAACGTGTTTTTTCTTTAATTTATATCTCTGAGTTTGTTATCTGTGTGCAGGAATGCTACTGATTTTGAAATACAGACTTTGTAACCAGCTACTGAATTTCATTATTAAATCTTTTTGTGGAATTTTTGGAATCTTTTATATAGAGAATTGTGTTACTATCAAATAAAGATAATTTAACTTTTTTCCTTTTCTATCTTTACACCTTTTTCTTGTCTGATTGCTGTGAGCAATGTTTCTAGTACTATATTGTAAAGGAGTGGTGATGCTGGGCATCCTTATCTTGTTCTTGATTTTAGAGTGAAAATTTTTAATTTTTGAACATTTAGTATCACGTTGGCTTTTGATATGTCATAATTTTATCATATTGATATAAAGACCACTATTCCCATGTCCTGTAGTTTTTGTTTTTGTTTTTAGCATGAATGGGTGTTGAACTTTGTCAAGTGCTTTTTTCTGCATCCATTCATATGACTGTGATTTTTTTGTCCTTGGATCTCTTAATATGGTGTATTACATTTATTGACTGGCATATGTTGAATTCTCCCTGCATCCCTGGCATGAATCCTACTTAGTCATGGTGTATAATCTTGATGATTTGCCATATTCTGTTTGTCAGTATCTTATTTAGGATTTTTACATCTACTTTCATTGAGGAAATTGGTCTATAGTTTTCTCTTTTTGGTTGAGTCCTTCTCTCATTTTGGTACCAAGGTAATACTTGTTCCAGGAATGATTTTGGGAGAATTGCTTATCTTTCTATTTCATTAAAGAGTTTGAAGAGAACTGGAATTAGATATTTTCTCAAGTTATTGTAAAATTAAGCAGTGAAACCATCAGGACCTGGACTTTCTTTCTTGGTAAGTTTTTAATTATGTTTTCAATTTAAGTGACTGATATTGGGTTATTTATACTTTTTATATCTTCTTGACTCAGCTTTAGTAATTCTTAGGATGTAGCATTCTCTTCATTTCTTTTCTGTTTTCCATCTTATTAGAGTACAAATTCTCAAAATAGGAATTGATAATCTGAATTTCCATAGAATTTGTTGTGATTTCACCCTTTTCATTCCTAATTGTATGAATTTGAATACTTTCTTTCCTTTACTGATAAGGTTTTCTAAGAGTTTCCATTTTTTTTAATCGTTCAGAGAACCAACTCTTTGATTCATTGATTCTTTGTATTATTATCAGGCTCAATTGCATTGATTGCTGTAATCTTTATAATTTCTTCCCTCATACTCATTTTGGACCTGACTTGTTTTTCTATATTTAGAAGTTTAAGGCCCAACATCAGATTGGTATTTGAGCTTGTTCTATTTTCCTACTATGAGAGTTCAGTGCTATACATTTCCCTCTTGGGATTGCTTTCATTGCATCCCATGAGTTGTAGTATGTTGCACTGGCATTATCATTTAATGTAAATACTGTTTGCTATCTTCTTTAATCTGCGACCCATTGGTTGTTCAGGTGGGTATTATCTTGTTTCCATGTGTATATGGAGTTGTTGTGGTTTCCTTTGCCACCGATTTCCAATTCCATTGCACTATGATCAGGTACTACACATGGGATAATTTCAGTTATTTTGCATGTACTGAAGCATGTTCTATGAGCTAGTATGTGGTCTATTTTGGAAAATGTCCCATGTGCAGTTGAGAAGAATATATTTTCTGATATTTAGGGATGGTATATTTTATAGATATCTACCAAGTCTATTTGTTCAAAACATTGGTTCCTCTAATTTTTTGTCAAATTGACTTGACAGTGTGAAGTTAAGATTCCCCATTACAGTTATTAGTACTTAATATATTTTTTGATGTCTATTAATACTTGTTTTGATATAGCACTGACATTTACATTGTTATCTCTTCTTCTTGGACCTTTCCCTTAAAAAGCATGTACTGACTTTATTTCTTTTTATCAGTCTTCATTTAAAGTTCACATTGTTTGCAAACAGAATAACTATCCCTGCTTTTCTCTGGGCTCCTGTCATGTGGAATATTGTCCTCCATCCTTTGACTTTCAATCTATGGATTTCTTTTTGAGTTAAATATGTTTCTTATATGCAGCATATTGTTGGATCTTGTTTCTGGACCCATTCTGCCAGGGTGTTTCTTTTGATTGGTGAATAGAGACCATTTACCTTGATATTTATAACTGATATATACTGGCTTATCCTTGTTATAATATTTTTTTGCTGTTGGTTCCCTGTCTTTCACTTCTGTTTAATTATATACCATGCCTAGTGGCTTCCTTCTATTGGTGTTCTTGGAATTATGGTTTTTGTTATCTCTTTCTAAAATGCCCTTCACAACACTTTGTGTGGCTGGCTGGTTGGTTGTGAATTCAGCTGTTCTTTTACATGGAAATATCTTATTTCTTCATTGACTTTGAAAGATAATTTTGCAGGGTATATCAATCTGAGTTAAAGACTGTTTTCTTTTGGAGCTTTAAATACCTCACTAAGTTCTCTTTGCCTTAAACGCTTGTGTTGAGAAGTCTGCCATGATTATGATGGGCTTTACTTTACAGATGATTTTTTTTTCCTCTAACTGCTTTTAATATTCTGTTCATGTGCAGAATGTCTGAAATCTTGATTATTATATACCCTAGTGTAGATTTATTTTGTTTATGGCTATTTGGAGTTCTGTATGCCTCATTTATTTGTAATATCAAATACTTTTTTCATGTTTGGAAAGGTTTCTGTCATTACTTCTGTGAACTTTTTTTTATGGCATTTGTGCTTTCTCCAGCTTTTTCATTGACTCTGATCAATCTTACATTGGGTTTCATTTTGTTTTGTTTTGTTTTAATTTTTGCATGATTTTGCAATTGTTGGATTGATTTTTCATGGTTTCTTGCTATTTAAAGAAAACTTTCTTTTTATGGTCATTAACTATAATCCTGTCTTCTAGATCTGATATTCTGTCTTCATCTTGGTTGAAACAATATCATATACTTTTAGTGGAGTTTTTAATCTTCTGGATATGTTTGAATCTGTTTCATGGATTTAATTTCTTTCCTATGGTGGGTATTCATGGTTTCTATCATTTTTCTAAGCTCTTCCTTTTTATTTTTTAAATTTATTCCCTGGTACTAGAGATCAAACTAAGGACTTTGTGCTTGTGAGACAGTTGTGGTAAACTAAATCCCCAGCCTTTCCTTTTAAATTTTTACCTGTCTACTCTAGATTCAGTGAGTATATCCTTTATTTTATCATTTCTGCTTTTTAACTGAAAGATTGTTTTCTCTGTAGCTTCATCCATCTACTTTTTTACATCTGCTGGTATCATTTCAGAAAGTTCATATGGGTGGCATCTAATTTCCTCTATATGGTTGTCCCCTGGACTTATCCCAGATGAACTGTGGGTCTGGGTTTGCATTTTGATTCTAGATGTTATCATTTTCTATTTTTAAAATTTTGTTTCATTTTCTAAGTTGTTCTTATAGATTTCTTATGGTAGATAGCTATATCTCTAGCATCAATGCTACTCTAGGAAATGTCTATTCCTCAGAGATGCCTTCTAGGTGTAGGTGTTTTTTGTCCTTCATGTCTATCCCAAGATCCTACCTTCCCAATATATTAAGGATGAAAAGTTGTTATCCATTTAGTTCAGCACATAGTCCTTTGGTACTGGACCATGATGATGATTGTGAACCCAGACAATTACAGTAAGAGAATTACAAGAGAGAACAACTGATTATATAATAAGTATGAAATCCTAGCTAAAGTAGTACAATTAACAATAGCAATAGCATCAAGCACAGACTATAAACTGACAAACTGTGGTAACTATTAGTCTGGTATCTTTAACCATACAAGAAAATTTTACTATTATATAACAAAATCCAACATAAATCAGAAACTTGTATGTAATGTGTTTCTCCTTAGTAGAGTGATTTTACGTGGTAGGGGTGGAAATTTAAGAGGGATAAGGGACAAAATAGAGAGATAATTCAACAGAAATATAGTAGAAGCAAAGAATATAGAGGGCAAAGAATGAACACCCAAGCTTTGGGAAACTGGAAAAGAGGCCAGGAAAGAAAGAATAAAGGAGAAATCAGAATAAGTTTTGAAGTGAACTAGAAAGATAAGACATTCTATGCTTGCATGAAAGTATCATCAAATCAAGAGATATCTCTGGAAAGAGGACAAATAGGACAGAACAAAAATAAAGGTATAAATCCTAAACAGCCAAAAAAAAAAAAAGTAAAACAAATCAAGCAAATAAAGAAAACAAAAAATAATAAAAGTAATTAAATTCCTCTGGTGTCCACAGTTGTGTGTGATGTCCACAGTTGTGTATAGTGTCTGAGACACACCAAAAATGCACAGCACAACCCCACCAAGTTTACAGTAAGGTCAGATCTGGTCATGTGATTGTTTCTGGCCTCCAGAGGTGAGGAGGGGGCTGTTCTCCAGCCAGCAACCTTCCAGATGTCCCTTGGGTGGCTCATCCATATTTTCCATCATGATTGCATCCAAAGCACTCTCCCAGCTTCTGTGGCATCCTCAGCTGGAGCCAGACCAAGAGAGATTCCAGGTCAGTTTACAGTTGGCCTCACCTGAAACTTGCACAGCCTCTTCTGTTCCACACTGCTGTTTATTCTCATGTGTTGGCTGTAGGCGGGGTGGGGTGGGGTATCCTGCCACTGACCACTGACCACCTGAATCTTTGGTCACAGAGCAGAGTGACTTCTCCACTCCTTTATAGCTAGGGCTAAGACTGGCTTCTGTTGGACACTGGAGTGGAGTCTGGTTGGTCCTAGTCTCTATTTTTCAGTAGAATTTCCCCTAGCCTACCGCCCAAGTGCTGGCAGTCTACTGTATCTGGTTGGTCTTTCCCTCTTTCCATTCTGGAATATTGGCAGTGAAGCAGCTCTGGGGCTGTTTGGCCATCTGAGTTCGAGCCTTGATCCTTTCAAAACAAAATGGACACTGCACCTGCCCTCTGCTCATTTGAGCTACTACTATGAGTCATTCCAGGTCTTTCACCAACTGTTGACTCTGGGAGGCCATTCAGGAAACAATGTCTTCTGTTCTCACTGCTGCCTCTGACTGATAAGATTCTCCTGATCTGGGTACAGTCTCTCTTTTACAGTGAATAGCAAAATTGCTTTGCTGCCTCACCACTGGCACAGCTACGCAGGTACTCTACCATACTGTGCTGTGTCTGGTCTGTGGAAGTGAGCTATTTCTTCTGAAACAATGGATTCTATTTTCTTTTTCTCCTCTCTCAGTTTCCTTGTGCTTCCCCTCTGCCCTCTATTCACTGTTTCCTCTCTAGGCTATTGATTTTCAGACTCTGGGCACTTTGTCTTGGAGAATCTGTGCCGCTGGTATTCACTGCTTTGGCATTTTTTCCTTCCACCTCCAGCTATTTCTTTTCACAAAGATTATTTTTGCTATTCAGCTCTGATTGCAGTTCCTACAGATTTAAAAACAATAGTTCTTTTCTGTGAAAAATGACAAACAAATTTTGAAAGAAAATCTTTCAATATTTTGAGTGTAGCATGAGCAATTTCACAGTATTTTTGTAGTTCATGAATGTGGGATATTTTTTCATCTGCATGTTTTCCTTAATTTCTGTCATTGATGTTTTATAATGTGCAGTATAAAGATCTTTTACCTTCATGGTTAAATGTACATCTAGATATTTAAATTTTGTTTCTGCTGTAAATGTAAACTTAATTTATAGGTCCTCACTTTTCTCCTTGCTTCCTGGCTATCATGATTTGAGCAGCTTTCTCCCAATTCATACACTTCCACTGTGCTGTTTCTGCATCTGATCCTGCCAACCATGGACTGAAACTTCTGAACTGTCAGCCAAAATAAACTCCTCCTCCTTTAAATTTTTGGTGTTGGTTATTGTGTCTCAAGGATAGGACAGTTGCTAAGACATCTGGTATTGTGTGTTTTCCCACTCGTATTTTTGTCCCGACTGCATGTTCTCTCTGGTTATTATGCATCTTTGAGGGGGAGGCCTTTTTTCTTAGCCAACAACTGGCTAGAAGACAATGTAATGAACAGGTCAGATAAGCTACTGAGAAGTGCCAGGAGATGGTGATGGTTTCCATTGGTAGTTTGCTATCTTTTTCATTTCAGATATTTACACAATACCTATAAGCAGTATTAGTTCATTCCAGCCTGGTAAGGAAACACCTCCAGGAATGAGGGACATGTTTGTGTTGTGATGTGGCAATCACTTCTCTGTCTCTGACAAAAAGCAGTTGTTGTATAGCTGCTTGATCTGTACTTTTCTCTGACTCTCTCAGACCTTGTCAACTCACTCAGTGCCTCAGTCATCCTTACCTGATCCTACACTCACATGTGCTGTCAGTCAAGAAGACTTCCCTCAACTGCCATGTGAAGTCATGGATCATTGTTTTAAATTCTGATTATGGAACATATTTTGAAGGGTTTCATAAAACACAGATGAAATGCACCTGATTTTGAATTTATATTATAACTAATCCCTTTTTTCACTGAACTTGTTTTGGGGTGCCACTTCTGCCTATACTCAAAACCCAGGCATCTGAGGGCATCTGAGGACATGTAAGGACATGAATCCACAATCAGGGACATGAGGATAACAGGCCAGGTATAAGAGAGTGACTTAACATTCTCAATTATGCATGCACAGCATGGGCAAGGGATGCAGCTGGCGTTTAGTCTCTCCATGTCCCAGTAAGTTATAAGAGTATAACTATTGTGTACTACAGAACCCTATAACCTTTTTGTAGCTGTGTTTGCTATATAGCTGTATTTGCTGTTTTTGCTGAAGGAATAAAGTTATATATCTCTTGATTTCTGGAGCTGTATTTATGTTTTGGTGATTTTGTACTCTAAAGGTTTATTTATATCTTCATTTATAATACATTTTCTGTGAAAGGAGCTTAATAGTTTCAAAGTAATAATTAACTTATAAGGCCAAGGAAATGAAAAAGATCTAAAATAGTTCTCATATGCAACATAAAATACATATCTTACTTTAATATGTAATAACTATGGATTAGTAAAATGAACTATGGCTTTTCTATGCATTGGAATAAAAAACACCTTTGAAAAGAAATGTCCACATTTGTTAAACAAAATTTTCAAGATTTAGTTAGGATAAAAGAATCACTTTGCAAAAGAAATATGGGTAATATCCTATCTGTGCAATATTTTTCAACAAAATATAGCCATATTACAATATATTTTATTAAAAAGTCTGAGAACTATGTGTAATATGATGCGGATTGGAATTTTAGTTTGGAGAGATTTTATTCTATTTTTTCACATTTTACATTTTATATACTTTAAGCTTTCTCTCAGTTATATGTGTTAGCAAAACTATAGATCTAATTAGGCAAATCCTTTGGGAATATTGTAATTAAATCAAGCTATAGGCAGTGAAATTTTGATATATCAAATAAGAGAGTCCCATCTAAGTAAAGAAGAAAGTAAGTCAGTCATTTCTAAGAATAATACGGGGATCACATATACAGATGGATTTCTACTCCAAACTGAAAACTCATTTTCTAAGAAATAGAAAATCTATTTAAATAAAATAGTTGTACAACATGTGCTACTATTTACGAAACTACAAGTAACAGGGAATTTCCCTTGTCAGAAGGAACACTGAGGCAGCTTAGGACTGGGCAGTGTTTCTGCTTTGGAGCTTTCATGTAGTGGAGAGAAAATTTTACCTGAATTGTTGGTGAATGACTGGAATCCAATCAAGTCTTGTGGAACAGTTTTGAGTTTCCTAGCACCACACCTCAGCAGCACATGTTATGACATCTGGTAACAAGCAAAAGAGAAAACTATCACGAAGATCAACAACAATTTTGTGAGTAGGATAAACCACAGCATCCAAACAGTAACGTATTAGGGAGAAGAAAGGAAAAAACAATGCAGAAAATGAAAAAATTTTCCAATGAAACCCTATCTCTAAATTAAAAAAAAAAAAAGAAATTATAAAAATATTAGGACTGTAGCTCAGTGGGAACGCCAAGGGTTCAATCTCTGGTACCATCACCAGTATCACCAAAAAACAAACAGATAAAAAAACAAATACACCAAAGATGAAATAAAATGTTGAAAAAAGAGTTCATGTATAAAAGTATAAATACATTAACATAATGCATTACTTGAATGAAGTTAAAATGATAAAATAGGAAGCCAGTACTTTTCTTCATAGTTTTTAAAAGTAAGATGTACTATGAAAACCATCTAGCGGCCTGGTTGGGCCCAATCGGTGGGACCCTGTAGACACGCTCTACCCTGTCTGGGTAACACCAGACCCAGCAAGAAAGGTGAGATTTGTGAAGGCCACTGGGAGATCTGCTCTCCCTCTGGCCTGCTTGGGCACATTCCCTGGGACCAAGAAGCCATGCCCTCCCCTGCCTGCTCCACCAACAGCTCCAGCAAGGAAGGTAGCCACGCAGGCGCCACTGAAATGCCGCCCCCCCAGATCTCCTGATTGTGCCAGTCCTTGGAAACACTCTGCTGAGGGATAGGTTGCCATAAAGGGTATTCTTCTGAGCTCCCAACTCTGAACATCTTTAAAGAAAGGGCAGGGGAAACCTGTAGTAGAACTGTGCAGAGTTCAATCCTACAGGACATCAGGGAACTCAATCTGGGCCTTGTGGCCTGAGGTCAGTATGAATCTCAGGGGTCTGCCATTGGCCAGCTGAGATCAGGGCACTTGGTTCTGCACATGGCTGTGCATATGGTATATTATGACAGTAGAGATACAGTCTGAAGGAGGCCCTTCAAATTCATTTTTTTAATTTCTTTTCCTCATCCCACTCTGCAGGTTCTTTCTTTTTTCTGTCCTCTTTCTCCAACTCACACTGTTGCTCCACCGTATTATCCCTCATCTCCCTTTCTGTTCCTGCTCCTGCCCTAACTCAGATTTCTTCTTTTATCATTTTTTGTTTTTTCTTTATGTTCTTTTCCTCTGTCATTTTACCTCATTCGTGGGTCAACAGTTTCAAGGGAAAGTGAGCTTCTATTACTGTTAAGGGGATATATTCTTGTCCTTATTCTTGCACTGTCCATCCCGTTTGAATTTAATAGTTTTCTAAAGATTGTATGGTCATTCTATGTCCTGTGACTTCACTTGAAACCTGCTACAATTAGTTACTTATCTACTCCTCTTGTCCTAACTCTGTCTAAGCCCCCATCCTAAATAGTAAAGATGCTATATTGAAAAGTTTATTCACTGCAAAACCTATTTTGGGCTGTTTCATGATTTTAATTTAATTCACATGGTTTAAAGGTGATAGATTAATGACTACCACAAGTGGTCAATTTGCAAGTTGTGCTTGATCCTATTGTGTTGCTGATTGTATCAATTTGGATAAAAGATTGTGATTGATTTAATGAGTTGTTTTCTCTAATATGAAAATAAGAACGTGTATGAGTCATTCGAGACTCAAAAGCTAAAGCACAACTATATCAGGAATATTTAAGTAAAAACTCAGAAATTATACCAAGGGCAACCTAACAACAAAAATAAAAATGAGAAAACACTTAAGCAAGGCACAAAGACAGACTTCTAGTTCACCAATGACGAACAGTATGGCAAATGAAGATGGAAAGTCTGATAGCGAACCACCAGGACACCCTGAACTCATAGCACAGGAAGCAACAAAACAGATCATTCAGGCTCTAGAAAAATCCAAAACAGAAATAATTTCCCAGATAACCATAGAGACGGTAAGCAAAATGAAAGTCATGATTTGAGACTCTACAACAGAAACTGACAAAAGAATAGATGAGCTCAGGACCACGATAGAAGCCATGAAGGTCCAGCATAAGAAAGAAATGGAAACAATGAATGCTCAACATAGGAAAGAAATGGAATCCATTAAACAGATTCAAACGCATATCCAGGAGATTAAAAACTATTGAAAGTGTTCACAATAAAACAAAATAATGTGAAGATAGAATCTCTGATACAGAAGATAGGATTTTGCAGTGACCTTAAAAAGAGAGGTCTCTTAAAAACAGTGAGGGATGATGAGAAATTGATTAAACAACTCCTAGATGATGCAAAGAAGAAAAACATGAGAGTGATAGGAATCCATGAAGTAGCAAGAGAAAATACAAATGACTTAAAAAAGCTGTTCACATAATTAATGACAGAAAACTTCCCAAACAGAGGGGAAGAATTCTACATACAGATAAATAAGGCATATAGGAATCCAACTAGCCACGATCAAAAAAAAAAAAAATCTACACCTAGACGTATAATTATCAATATCCGAGAAACCCAACAGACAAACAAAATACAACAAGCAGTAAGAGAAAAGAAACAAATCACATGCAAAGGAAAGCCCATCTGAATCACGGCAGACTTCTCAACACAAACCCTCAGGTCAAGGAGAGCCTGGAGTGAGGTATTTCAAGCCCTACAAGAAAACCTCGAACCTAGACTGATGTATCCTGCAAAACTCTCTTTCAAAATGGATGGGGAAATAATATACTTCCATGATGAAGAACACCTGAGAAACTTCATGAACCCCTCCAAACCAGCACTACAAGGAATTCTAAAGAATATCCTAGAAAAAGACAATGAAGGTCACAATACCATGAGGCCCAACAGACCAAATCAAATAGGCAAGGCAAGAAACTAAAAGGAGAGGGTAAAAAAGTAAAAAGAGTCAACAAAAGGACAATGACATGACAATATAAGTCAGTACATATCAGTTATAACCATCAATGTCAATGACTTCAACTCACCAATCAAGAAATATAGACTGGAAAAATGGATTAAGAAGCAAAATCCAACAATATGTCATATACAAGAAACACAACTAGTGCAAAAAGAAGCCCAGAGACTAAAAGTGAAAGGATATAAAACAATTCTCCATGTGACAGGAGCCCAGAAAAAAGCAGGGGTAGCAATCTTATTCGCAGACAAAGTAAATTTTGAACCAAAACTGATTGAGAGACAAAGAAGGCCACTACATCCTTGTAAAGGGAACAATTCAAGAGGAAGAAATGACAATCATAAACATATATCCACCAAATATTAATGCCCCCAACTATATAAAACAAATATTGAGTAACATGAAAAACCAAATAAATACTAAAACAATTATAAGGGGGATCTAAATTCCCTACTATCACAAAGAGACAGATCATCTAGGCAAAAATATCAACAAGGAAATGTTAGAACTGAACCAAGTTTTTGAATGCATGGACTTACTAGATGTCTATAGAGTGTTCCACCACACAAATTCAGAATGTATATTCTTTTTGGCTGCACATGGGTCATTCTCCAAGATAGAAAACATACTAGCTCACAGAACAGGTCTGAATAAATGCAAAATAATCGAAGTTATCCCCTGTATATTATCAGATCATAGTGCCATCAAGCTGGAGATCAATAGCACAAGAAACCCTAGGAATTTCACAAACACATGGAAATTGAACAACACTCTCCTGAACAATCAGTGGATCACAGAGGAGATTAAAGAAGAAATTAGACAGTTTTTACAAATAAATGAAAATGCCGATACAACATACAGGACTCTAGGGGACACAATGAAAGCAGTTCTACGTGGGAAATTCATAGCACTGAATGCCCATACTAGGAAAACAGAGCGAGCTCAAATAAACAACCTAATAATGACTCTTAGACTGCTAGAAAAACAGGAGCAAGAAAAGCCCAAAATTCAAACAAGAGGAAATTATAAAGATTAGAGCAGGAAACAAGAAAATGATACAAAAAAAAAATGAATCAGAGTTGGTTTTTTTTGAAAGAATAAATAAAATCTATAAACCCTTAGCTAACCTTATCAAAAAAAGTAAAGAAAGGGCTCAGATCCATGCAATCAGGAATGAAAAAGTTGAAGTCACAACAGATCCAACAGAAATCCAGAGGATCATTAACACCTACTTTGAGAATCTGTACTCTAATAAAATGGAAAACACAGAAGAAATGGACAGATTATTCTAGATACTTATGAATTATGACAGTTGAACAAAGAAGATAAAAACATTTTAAAAACCCCAATTACAATCAGTGAAATTGAAAATGTAATTCAAAATATAGCAACAAAGAAAAGCCCAGGTCCTGGTGGATTCAGCGCTGAAATTAACAAGACATTTAGAAAAGAACTACTGCCTTTACTCTTCAAACTTTTCAATGAAATTGAAAGGGAAGCAATACTTCCAAATTCATTCCTGGAAGCAAGTATCACTTTGATTCCCAAACAAGGGAAAGATGCAACTAAAAAAGAGAACTACAGGCCAATCTCCTTAATGAATAAAGATGTAAAAATCCTTTATAAGATACTAGCAAACAATACAGAGGATCATCAAGAAGATCAAACATTCTGACCAAGTCAGATTAATTCCAAGGATGGAAGGATGGTTCAACATACATAAATCAATAAATGTAATACACTATATTAACAAAGTCAAGGACAAAAACCATATAATCCTCTCAATAGATGCAGAAAAAGACTTTGACAAAATTCAACACCCATTCATGATTTTAAAAAACCTGAAAAAAGTGGGATAGATGGTCTATATCTCAACTTAATAAAGGCTATCTATGAAAAACCAACAGCCAACATGATATTAAATGTTGAAAAACTGAAAACTTTAATGTTAAAATCAGGAACAAGACAAGGAGGCCCACTATCACCACTCCTCTTCAATACAGTTCTGGACACATTAGCCACAGCAATTAGACAAGAGAAAGAAATTAAAGCAATAAAGATAGGAAAGGAATAAGTTAAACGTCATTATTTGCTGATATGATATTCTATATTGAAGACCCA